CCTAGAGATATTCTAGAGACTCTATAAACAACGACATATGATTGGATGTGTCCGTTTGTCAATGTGCGCATCTGGGACTCACTCCGATTTTCGTACTACTATTTGTGATGTAGAGCGTGGGTAAATTGTGGTTTTGGTAATTATTTAGTTTAGCAGCAACACCTCCGATTTCGATGAAAATAGACTCAATCGGCGCGTTTTTTCATGCCAAACAACATTTTCCTCTGACAAAATCGTCGCTCTTTTTTCTGCGAAGCGAGATATTAATAGACAAAGTTGAGGGCGTATTAGATTAGAAAATCTGTCATACCATCTATTTCTAGCTATGTAACTGGGGGGCTTCGCCCCCCAAACCCCCCTATCACGGGGGGTGGGGGCTGTAGTCTTTTGTGAGAAATTCACTTTTTAGCTTAAGCACAAGAGACTATAGCCCCCACCCCCCGTGATAGGGGGGTCTGGGAGACGAAGCCCCCCAGTTACATAACTAGAGATAAATGATATGATAGATTTTCTAACCTAACACGCCCTCAACTTTGTCTATTAATATCTCGCTTCGCAGTAGAGAGCGACGATTTTGTCAGAGGAAAAAGTTGTTTGGCATACAAAAACGCGTCGATTGAGTCTATTTTCATCGAAATCGGAGGTGTTGCCGCTAAACTAAATAATTACCAAAACCACAATTTACCCACGCTCTACATCACAAATAGTAGTACGAAAATCGGAGTGAGTCCCAGATGCGCACATTGACAAACGGACACATCCAATCATATGTCGTTGTTTATAGAGTCTCTAGAATATCTCTAGGCATATGGCGTTGTGGTTGGATGTGATAAAAACGAAATAAAAACACAAATATTTTCTACAAAACTATTTTTTATTTCTCATCAGTTGCATATCCATTGCATAAACAAACGATACATAATTAAATGATGATAAAATAAACGGTGCACATCATTCTGTGTCCAAATGAACAGCAGACAACTGGACGATGTCCAAGTGAACAGTGCGCATCCTTTTGTGTCCAGTGGGCGATTGAACGGTGTCCAAATGAACGGTGTCCAAATGATCGGTGTCCAAATGAATGGTGTCCAATTGAACGGTGTCCAAGTGAACTGTGTCCAAATGAACGGTGTCCAAGTGAACAGTGTCCAAATGAACGGTGTCCAAGTGAACAGTGCGCACCCTTCTGTGTCCAAGTGAACAGACAAGCAATGCCACGGTGTCCAAGTGAACGGTGTACAAATGAACAGCACGTATCGTTCTGTGTCCAAGTGAACAGTGGGCAACTGAACGGTGTCCAAGTGAACGGTGTCCAAGTGAACGGTATCCAAATGAACGGTGTCCAAGTAAACGGTGTCCAAGTGAACAGTGAGCATCCTTCTGTGTCCAAGTGAACTGTGGGCATTTGAACGGTATCCAACTGAACTGTGTCCAAGTAAACGGTGTCCAACTGAACAGTGTCCAAATGAACGGTGTATAACTGAACGACGTGCATTTTCTTTCGTGTCCAAACGCACCGTGTCCAGTTGAACTGTATGTCAAATGCCGTGTCCATTTGCAACGTGTCCATTTGCAACGTGTCCATTTGCAACGTGTCCAATTGTACTGTGTCCAAGTGCACCGCTCCCATATTTAATCACTAATAATTTTTCAGTATTTCTTAGTATGATATTTCTATAAGGGATATACGTGATGTACTGAAATCTTTCCGTTTTTATTCTGTCCTGAAACTGCCGACATCGCTGCGAACGTTCGCACGACATTCGCAGCAAAATTCTATCGTAGCTACCCCAGACATAGGGACGTACTCAGGACGTACTCAGTCGATCGCAGTACATATGAGAACATTCTGAGATGATCGCAATATACGCATTGCGATCTACTCAGAACGTCCTCAGAACGTCCCCGTGCTGTTAGGGTAGTTACTTTAAATATAATTCTACTAATTGTAAGTTGCGGTAGTTCCAAAAGATCTCCATTCACCCTCTAAATCATAAAGTAACATAATAATTTCTTGTTTCCTTTCTTTAAAATATTAATAATATATAATATGACAAACTTACTTGAAAAGAAGCAGTACCATACAATCTTAAAGTAATAAGTAGTTGAATAACAGGTTCAATCTGAAGGCCTCGCATATCAGGTTTATTTGAAGCATCCATAACTAAAGGCAATAGACCATACATAACACAATTTTTGTTAAATCTATATCTTATGTGAAATTCATCTTCACTATAAGCAGTGAATGATTCAATTGAATCTCGTACATATTGTTTTTCACGTATAATGATATGGTTATGTCTGCCAATATTGTCATTTTCTTCATCAGAGGAAGAATCTGAATTGTCTAATAAATTAATGTCAAATTGACCCAATATGTTAAATTCCATATTTATCTAAAATATATAGTGAGTAATTAACAGTATTTTTTGTATTAATACATTTATTTTAAGTTATATAACCTATAATTTTCTTTAAATTACTTACAGTTTATATTATTTTCCTGATACAATAAACTTCACAAAACACAAATAATAATATTTACAAAATGTCGAAATCCAGAAATATAAAGAACACAATAGTAATACATCAGTCAAAATTATAGCACTTTTTTACTTTTAAGGACAAATTGTGCACTTTTAATTTCGAATATCTTAAGTCGACAAATTATTGGACTTGACTAAGAACGTCTGAAGATATAGCTCAAGTTATAACTGTGCATCAAATAATGTTCAATCGTACTTAAGATTTGTTTATGAAACGGTAATTACTTAACTAAGTATATATTGATACTTAAAATCTAGCTTTAAATATGATCTCAAATAAAGACTATGAATTGTTCGCGATCTTAAGAACTAGCTTAATCCCGTCTTGAAACTCAAGACACATCTATGAATTCCGCCTAAGTCCTGTCGAATGACGTACGTATCTGCAGTGCTCGAAATATCGCAGAAGGAAGCGTCCACCCGATGGAGGCTGTAGAGTAATTCGGAAAGATCTCGCGAACTCTCCTCTCAGATAGGCGATCTCGATTCGATTTTGCCAAGATCGATCCAAAAGATCCGAAAAGTCGATTTTTTAAATTGATTGATTGACTGTTTCGATTTTGTATGAATCGATTCTTCACGCTCAGAATCGACGAAATCTTCTTCTTTTTTTTCCCTTCTTTTCACTAGCCGAACGAGCAGTCCATTCGTTGTTGACTAATAACGTATGACGATTCTTCTTTGATAGCGATTTGACGACCTCTGTAGGCCTATTCTATAACTTTACATTGATATGTAGATATATTGTCTGTTCTTTTTAGCTGCACTGTTTAACTAGTGCAATAAGTTAAAGTGAAACAAATATACTTTTTCTCACTTTAACTTATTGCACTAGTTCAGCAGTGTAGCTAAAAAGAACAGACCAATTGTATATCGTGCGTTATATATCGCATCATCGGACACAATATAAATTCTCCATAATATATGGTAGGAAATACGTTCAAGTTACGGTTTTGTTACGTATTTAATTGTTTTCTTTACAGGAATTTGCTGTTCATTACAAATGCAGAAAATTACAATATGCTATAGTTCTTCAAGCAATCTGTGATGCAGATTTACTTTTTTTAGATTGTTTTGCAGGTTATCCAGGATCAGTAGGAGATTACCGAATTTTTCGTAATTCAGATATATACAAAGAAGTTCGCAGAAATATCCCTCCCTTCTTTCCTAAAGATGAATACATCATTGGTGATAAGGCATATCCGGTTTTAACGTGGTGTATTCCTCCATTTCGAGACAATGAGCGCCTTACACAAGTAAGTTCAGAGAACCACTAGTTTATAAGAGTTTATGTATAGTTGTATATTTTGAACACTCGTATTGATGATTATCTGTGGATATTTTATTACGTAGCTTTTTCATGATACAAAAAACAATGATATATATTAAACCGACAGTCGTCGATATGAGTGTATAGAATAAAAATTCTAGAAATGTCTGATATTTATAGCGTGTTCGAGTGGCCCTAATCGCTCCGAAAGCGATTATTGACGTCACAAGACTCCACTAGCCAACCATAAAATTTACACGAAAATGTTCGACCAATGACAGAACTTATGACGTCAATAATCGCTTTCGGAAACGATTAACCCAGGATCAGTTAAACACGCTATTAGTAAAAAATACTAAATAATTTTCTTTGTTTTTTGTTATTAATATAAATAGTGGTTTATTTTAGAAGAAATTTAATCTAGTAATATCACAAAAACGACAAACTATAGAAAGAGCTTTTGCTCTTTTAAAGGGAAGATTTCGACGACTGAAATTTCTTGATATGTCTCGCCTGGACTTAATACCATTTTTTATCATTGCGGCCTATGTCCTTTATAATATTTGTTTAGAAAGTATAGATGATGATATAGAGGGATTTGTAGAAGAAGGACGTGAACCATATGAGGAGGAAAATGAAGACAATAGAGATGATCCCGAATATAATGATAGAGAATATAATTTTGGTGATGGTGAAATTAAGCGAAACTATCTATGTCTTAGAGTTGCTGGGAGACAGTAAATCAAATTATTATATTTAAGATCGCTTTTACATCCTCAGATGCTGTACAAGCGGTTTTATTGATTATAGAATATCTGAAGATGAAATTTGGAATATATATACAGTATGTTTGATAAGAGCGTGTACGGCAAAACTCAAAAACTTAGGATAATACATAAATTGAAAAAATTTGTACACATTATGCATGATATAGACTGCGATGCTTTATTATTAATAAGTTGTCCAGTCGCCTCCATTATCAATAATTGACTGGCATCTCCGAG